CAAAATATTATATATAATAATTATATTATATTATTATATATTGCATCCTACTATATTATTTTGGGCCAAAAGAGTATCAGGGATTACCACATGCAGGTGTAGTCAAACCATGCTGATGTTTCTGCCCTCAGTTTATTCAGTCACAGGCAATGCTGTACCAGCTACTTCAAACCTCCAAAATTTTAAAGTAAACCAAGAATTGTCAGGTAAGCAGCAGCCATGACAGACCAAAGTGAAATAGAGGAAATAGCAATCTTACCTTCACACACTGGGCAGCACTCCCCAGGAACTTTAACAGGATTTAGGCAGCTCTGTCCACAAGCTGTTGCAACGCAGTGAGGCTCTCCATTGATGCACTGGCAGAAAGTACAGTCGTCCTCTCGCCAGCGGTCTCCGTGGGCTTGGATCTGACCATTGGCATAGCAGCCAGCAGGATTATTTACTGGATAAAGTGGGTCTGAAATGAGAGGAAATGCAAGAGAATGTGGCTTAGTATTTTAACTTTCTGATTTTGCTCTCGAGAACAAAATGGAGATTAGATCTATTGATTCATTTTTGTACCAACTTTCTGAAGGAAACTGAAAATCTAAATGAACTATAGGTTTCACCACATCAGACAAGCCTTCTCTAGACTTTTTCAGTTTGTCATTAAAAGAGAGTATAGCACTGAACCTCTTTTTTTTCCCCCTCACTGCATGAATGTTCTTATAAGCACAAGCACCATACTAGGAAACATCAAAAAGTCTAGAACCCTGCCTTCAACTACAGTTGGCAACGAATGTCTAGATGAGGTCTTAAACACAGGGCAAACATGGATGGGTATCTCTTCAAAATACTTAAGCCTATAGCGTTTGTATTTCAGCCTCTCTGCATGTGAACACCAGGTCTAAACCTATCTGATATAAACCTATGCACTAAAACACATAAAAATTACAAATACTCTTCTTTTAAAGAATGACTCCCTACTTCCTAACTTACACACCTGATACTTCATTATTCAGATTTTGGGCTTAAGCCTTCAAAGGTTTCAACAGCTTATAACAAAACCAGCCATAAAAACAGCATCCTTCACTAGATCCTGTGTTGACTCAGAAGGTTCAGCTCTTACAGCTACCTCTTTTAGACTCATTTTTACCATGTTCCTTACTAATTCTCTGCTTGGAATAAAGCATGACTATAGTGGAATTTTTGGTTTATTTGCTCCCACAAGGGAGTACAGGAATACTGATATTAAGTAGACTGCAAAGTGTTTGAAATTCACATTAATTACTAGACTCCTCTCCTCTGAGGATAAGATTTGAGATTTCCAGCTAATTTCACTTATTGAGAAGCTATTCCTTAGTTCACACAGCTTAAGTTCACACTTACACACATGGACTAGGAGCACTTCACAAGCCTTCTGACTATGTGGTGGCCATAACCTGATCCACACTGAGGCAAGATCCAAGTGTAGAGTACCAGCCCCTTCTCCCTCCACTAGAATCCTGGTTGTATTCTGGCCAAAGATGCATCCAACACTTTCTAGTACAAGGCAAGAGGGTCAATATGAAGTTTCCTATGGAACTATCTTTAGGAGGACTGTAGGCCTAGCAAGCAGAGAAGGTGTTTGCCAGCAGGGCAAAGGAGGAAGAGAAAAACACTGAAGTCAGATTACAGCCCTGTTTCTTTGCTATAATGGTAGAGAAGAGAAGGTATGTGTATTGTTTTACTGAACAGAAAAAGGAGCAGGTTGCAAAGCAATGGAAACATGTCTATGTGTCTTAGGACCACAACTGCTGCTCTGCAGATGCCTGTCTAAATAGTCAGTGTAGAAATTAGATACAGCTTCTTATCTCCTTTGTGAAGAAAGCCCCCTACAAAGCACTGCACACTTGGCTATGCCTAAGGACGTTCTGAAGCAGAAAGGAAAGGAAACACAAACAGCTCTGTATAGAAAGGGTAGAATGTCAACGTCAGAGAACGACTGCAAAGAACAAGACAGCACACTCAGGCACAGCAAAATGTAGAAATAAACTGGATTAAGGAGGAATCTGCAAACTTTAGAAGAACAAAAGCCCTTCTTTGCTCATTTCCATTGAACAGGCAAATAAAAAATATAGCAGCAGAAATAAAAGCAAGCAAGACTAATGACATACTGTACCTTCACACACTGGGCAGCACTCTCCTTCTGGCACGTAGTACCTGTCGCAGTGTAGCTCACCACACTGGGCAGAGAAACAAATAGAGACTCCACCTTGGCATCGACAAAATCGACAAGCATCCATTCGAAACATGTCTCCATCATAATATTCCATGCTGTTAAATATGCAAGTTGGCTTCACTTCTGAAAGAAGGAGAATAAACATGTATTTTATAGATATTGTTAGATGGGAAATAGTTAAGCTCATGTTGTTACTGACAAAAACAGGTATGAAAGAGACAGTTGATTTTTCTTTCATGTTTTAAACTCAGATGCAATTTTATTTTTAAGAATGTGGTATATTTTTATTGTCTGTTTTAACAATGGAAGAAAATAAAATGCAATTCAAAATACTTTCAGAGCAGTTACCTTCAATTAAAAGTCTCCATGTAAAAAATTAAAATCCTGAAGAAATGTTACAGTACTGGTATTTCTCCATAGGTGTTAAATATTTCTGATTCTGGATGAGCCTAAAGCTACTTCAAATTTCAGTACATGAAACAATAGATTTTTCCATTTTAAGAACACAGTTGCTGATAAGAGTAATCTTCCTTTCTGAAGGACGTGGTACTGAGGTGGATAAAGTGCACTAAAGCTGTCCAATCCACAGGTTGCAAAAAAAACACCAACAAACATTTTGTGACTGCACAATCTGTTATGCAGAACCGAACACTTCTTTGTTTAAGCAACCTGGGGCTGTTATAGTCAGCTCACAACTATATTTCCCACAAAATATAAACTCAATTGTAATAATATTTACATGATCACTTTAGTGTTTAAAAAAACATAAGACAGCAATTTCTTGTGTGTCTCCATCTATCTACAGCAGAGTCATGATGCATAATTAAATCCAAACATTGTGGGAAACTAGGAGCCTCTAAAAATTCTGAAGTATTTTGGGAAGGACACTGCCTATTTACTTCATTAACATTAAACAAAAAAAAAAAAAAAGGAAAAAATGATGTAACTAAACCAATGAAACAGTTTGGTTCCAGATTATGAAGCAGATCTACATACAATGAATACATAAGGTGGTTTTTTGACCTTGCAGTTATCCCACACATAGGAACACCACCTCCACCATCTACTGCCAGTGAAGTATATTCTGTTCAACCAGCCCAACTGATCCCCACACCCATGACATTGTGCAGCTCCACGGCCCAGGGCTGAATTATTCTGACTCAAGACAGTATAGAAAAATTACTCCAAACTTATGTTCAACTATAATACTTCATGTTACTCATTAGGAAATCACGACTTCACGGTATCATCATTATATTCCTCAATGACCTAAGCTTCCTCCCTCTTCCCCACTTCAGAGTTTACCTTTTGGCCTCCTATGACACTAGCCCAAGATACCTGAAAACAGACACCTGAAATAAAGCAGTCTGTAGTAAATCAATGTATTTTTTTCAGAAGCTCCAAATCTAGCAGTCTTGAAAAGCCAAAAGGTTCTGCAAACACCAAACTATTTCAGCATCATTACCAAACTGGAGATAAAACCATCATGTTTCATTGCATTTGAAGCAAATATAACAAAGGAAAGAAAGGACAAATGTCCATGTTTCTAATTTCTGTAGAATACATGGAAAAGTCTAATTACCTACTTACATATGTAATGCCTGGCCACATAGGGCAAAAAACTATGTCCACTTTGTTGTCAGGTAATTTTTATTTCTTGGTTAGTGATCAATCTCACATGGGACATGAGATATATTGAAATGAAAATTCAGCATTTGAAGATTTCTTTCAACCCTCCCCAATTCTCTTAACTCTTGGGGACTAAAATATTTACATCTGAGTTACTCTTGACAATGATACAGGTTTTCTTTAAAATGCTAAAGTATTTCAAGTACTTCTTTGAAACAGGCTTATATTGAGCTCCAGCATTGAGTTATTTGATATGATTGTAAAGCATTAAGAGTTGAAACTGAAGTATCCTGAGCTATGTTTGATTTTTATATGCCTATTCTGTATTCAAGCCATAATGTAGAAAGCAGCATAAAAAATAAGAGTAAGAGGAAATACCACTGTGTCCAGGAAAACAGCTATGACCTCATTGGAAAGCAATTCACATAAACAAACACTTGAGAAATATTTCAAGTTTATGCAGCTCAAGCTGTTAGTTTAGAAACCTTCTCAAAAAAGGAAAAAGTGCCAACACAACTCAAAAGGCCTTTAATCCATTTGCTTCTGGCCTCACTGTTTTGATTGCAGCTTTACAGATTTTTAATGATCTCCCTCACCCCAAACAGTAGATCTGAATTCCTGCCTCATTAGAAGTAGAAACATCATCTTCCATGAATTATCATTCATTTGTAAATGTCCAAACAAGACCAAGCAAGTAACTGCAAATCCTGAAAGGAAACAGTTGGTTTTATTCCTATAATGAAAACCACCATAGAATTTCACTACACGTGTATTTTTACCACCCAGGTTTAGGGTAGCGTATACATTCATACTGAACTATTGACCTAAGCCTATACATCCAGTTATGAGACAAAGATGACTTTTGTTAGAACCATATATAAGACTCCAGTCTTGAGACCAAGTCAAGCCAAAACAAGCACTAAATGAAGAACTCTAGCCTTCGATACTCAAGGTGAAAGCCTAATGAAGGAGTGAGCAACATGCACTGAAATTATAATGATGCATTTCTTCCATCACAATATGCTCAAAGATTCCCTCAGTTCTCCCTTGTTTGAAAAAGTACCAACTTTATTACCTTATTGATCTATGTATGACAGTCAAAAAAGAATGAAAGAACATAAAACTAACATTAAATAAATGCATCTTTTCCTAGAGGCTGTAACCATGAGCTCATTGTTCAGCCAATAAAGAGAAAACTACAGGTAGGATTCTTCAAGCTTCACTGAGTCACAAAGTAATTTAAATTGACCAAACTTCATAGAGCAAAGCAGTTAAACAGATTTGAGATGCCAAATCCCTTTTCTGATGCAGACTATCACAACAAAGCAGTGGGCATGAGACCTAGGCCATGAATTGGTGAATTCAGTGTCTGTTAGCTCTCAGATAAGCCAGTAATACAAGACTGGTCCAGACCAAGCACTGACATACAACTGCCCATCTGTGAAAGAAGCCAGGGCACAGCAGGCAGTCCCCAGAACAATACAGAGTTTATACAGGCTGTGGAAGGACAGATGACGTTACATCTCTGCTCCTATATAAAGTCAACCTAATGACGCATGACTAAGATGGACTTTATTTGGCTTTAGAGTTAAATGCCATAGAGTTAAATGAGAAACAGTTCTGACAGAAATTTAGCTCTACAGAACTCATGGCCACAGCCTTTTTTTGTTCTAGGAGCAAGAGCCCTAAAAGCAAGGGTTGCAGTAAACCACACAGCCTCACGCTACACAAACAGTGATTATATCTCAAGGCCTTGATCACCCATCTGAACTGCAAATGGACACAATTTGTTTTACCAAATCAGTTTTCTGAGGTATTTTACCTTCTACTTTTAGATATAATGAAATACAGTTTTATTGGCTGAACTGGCCCAAAGTATATCTTCTGACTTTTTAGAGATTTCAGTAGTTTCCAAATACTTATGGTTTTCTTTGACTAGAGTCATGGAACAGCTCAGAAACCCATGCAAATTTGGCAATCCACTCCTGGTGAGGCAGCAAGTCTGCATGTGGTTACACCAGGCACATGAGATGCTTCAGGTACCAGCTGTCTGTAGGCAAGTTTGGGCATTTTCTTTTTCATTATCAGAAATTCCAGCTCTCCTGAAGCGGAAGCAAGATTCAAAACAATTTTCTATTGTTTAAAGGATTAAAAGGTTCATGATCCCAGCACTTCAGATGTTCCTTCAGCGCACAGAAGTATTTGTACCAGAACCTTGGAAGGAACTTGGGCAAATGCTGTGAACTTTCTATTAAATGAAAGGGAAGGAAACTGATAACTTTCATCCCGTGTCTGTATAAACAAAATACAGAAAAGTTTTCCATTTTTCAAAAGCTTCATTGATAGAGAGTTTAGAAAGGAGGATATGTTCCATTGGAATTGGCCCATAACAGTGTTAGAGCACAACACACTGTATGCTGTTGTTTCCTTACAAGTACATAAAAACAAGCTAGATGGAAAAAACCTATTTGGATTCTTACTCTTCAGGTTGTCCTGCTTAGTGCAGTATATTTCCTATTAACACAACTGCAGGACTGCCATGAAAGTCCTTAGGTTCTGCACCTTCTAAAAAGGTCACCCAGAAACAGAGAAATCAGAATTAAAACAAACCTGTAACTATTGTTTTCAAATGAATGCAATTATTTATGCATGCATTTATACAATTATTTATACATACCCACACAGCTTAAAGGAATTAAATACTATTTTCTGGCACCTGCAGTCTGTAAAAGATATTAAAAGATACTTGGAATGCTGAGCAAAATCAAATTCAGCTCTATCTGATCATCCCTGGCTTAAATTTTTTGTTAACACCACTAGTAATGGAGAAACTGCAACCTACCTATTAAACAATTCCTGTGACTAAGCAAAAATCATAGGAGGAATAATTCAGATTAGACAGAAACAGCAAACAAACAAGAAAGGAAGTTTGCCAAGTTTCAATACTTTTCCCATTTTCAAGGTCTCATGCCCTACTGGATATTTCCATCCTCCAGTGTGCACATGTTTTACTAAGAGGACTCAGCCTGGGTGTCCCTGGCTTCATCCTCTCTAACAAATAAAACACACACATTGTTTTCAATTTTAACTTTGCTTCATCAGGTTATGCTTTTCAGTGTTTGTTTCTGTGGCTTTCCTCAAGACTATCCAGCTTTTGTCTATAACTCCTGGAAATTAACTTTTTAACATCCTGCAGTAGGTTACAGTCCTACCACAGACAAACACCAGGACAGCCAAAGGAGGAGCCAGGGCCACAGAGGGCAGTGGCTGTGTTCTAAACCCCCCAGAGACAGATTTTCCTGATAAAATCACCACACAACTCTTGCCAGCAAGACATGTTCTTAGTAACAGAGGAATGTGTTGAAATCCCAGTGGTCTTTGACAGTTCCTCACAAGAGACAATACATGTTGTGATCAGTTTATCCCTAAGCATATTACCAGGCAGTATTTACTAAAAATTACCAAACAGTAGTACTAAAAGGTACTGGCACATC